GCAAAGGAGAACATTTTTGGTAATAAAAGTTATGAGAGCGATTGTAACGGCAAGGAAAAGAATGAAAACCTTGTTAAAACTAATGAAAACCCTATTAGGCCCTTACGAGCTAATGATACTCACAATCAGAAACTAAGATAATGAAGAGTATTGCCATCAACTACCGCATTTACAAGTCCGAGTTGAAAATCACAATGGCGTTCTATCATAACACAACAATAGCACGAAATACTAATTTCCCGATCCCTCCATTATCTATTGATACCTCCAAATTACCCAAAATGGGTAAGTTCACCCCTTACCAGAACCACTGCTATAAGGTAATAGTTGTACAGATTATGCATAGAGACGGGTGGAATACGCTCGGTCAAAAGAATCAGCAGTAATGAGTTCATGAGTTTTCATACTGCAACGTAAGATTTTCTGATGAAGAACGTTTTAAGGAATGTCTTCATCATCAACATCAAGAACAACCTATGTATTGTCACAAATGAGGTCTAGTCAGCAAACATCAAGTCCTAACAATGGTGTTTCTTCCGGACCTCAGGTTATTCAGATGATTTTCAGAATGTACTTCCGTCTGGCAACCAAACTCGAGTCTTTTCTCGTGAACACTTCAAGTTTCTTGATTCGCATGCAACTGACTTATAATCATTCTATATGGTGACATTTCAGGCAAATACTGATCAGCAATCTTACATGATCAACAATAATACTGTTAATGATCCACATATGGCTGGTATGCTACAAAATGAAATACTTATCAAAAGTATGCTACCACAATCAATGTTAACCGTGCAAATAACACCATCATCATCGGCAACTGGTTCGAAAGCAACACATCTTCCTCAAACTTCAATTCCAGGTTATTTTCCGAGCATATCTACCTATCTAGACAATTGCTAAGATATTATTTTAGACTGAAATTTGTCAAATATCCATAGATTTAACTGCCTTTCATGTAGGAATCGTATATATTGTCGTATTCACTCGAACGGAAAATTTGTTTTGAAAATAACATTCAAACCAAACGTTACACTCGAAATTCGCAAACATTTTTCGTCGTGCAATTGCTTCAGAATCGCTTTCTTCAGATTCCCAGCATCAACAACAAAAAATGTCAATGATTCCACAGCAAACACCACCTCAATCGTATTTCCCCAATTACCCATACGCACAGTCATTATTTCCATTCTTTCCACCCATCACATGGTTGACCCCGTCACAATCACCTCAACCTACAGCTTTACCTCATCAGCCTGGCACCGTATGTTGAACAAATGTTTTTGAAAATTTCTCTTTTGATAAGCTTATATCTAGGAGGTTTTCATTGGTATACTAAAATAAGAAATTTTATCTGTATATTGGTTGTGAACAGTAAAAAGTACCCAACATTTTACCACTAATATTAACGATGAGTATAATAACTGAGTGTTCGAAATTTGAAGTAATCGCGTTGCTCATTTACTTATCATGGAAGTTCATCAGTGATATTCGGATGATCCTTGTGTTCCCGGAACTTATACTTCAACAAAATTTATACAGAATCGCTTTCAACCTTTACAAGATATTTGAGAAGTCCTATTTGCAGAGCAAATCTACTTTTGGTACACCAGATTCCGGTATCGGCTTAGGAACACCATCGGGCATTGATAGCTCTCCATCGACGTTGCTAACGCCACAATCGCCGTACATCAGCGGACAACCACCACCTTCGCAATTCGGCGAATTCAACCCGTTGACAGGTTGTTACTCAATAGGTTCTGGAGCCAGTACTGGACTCTCATCCGGAAATGTCCCTATGGGAGCCTCGATTATCCCCGGAATGTCTGGCATGATAGCGTATCCAATGGCCACTTCACATCAACAACATTATCAACAAGCACCAGGCCAGTCATCGTCTACCCCAATCACAACAAACAGCCAATCAGCAATCGCTCGTAAACGAAAGCTGGCTACCATATCGCATCGTCAACGGCGAAATTACTGTAGTATATGTCAGTCAGTGATACACGCTGAGGGAAGGCGATCGCAAGGTTTGTTACTCGACTGGTTGAGATTATTTTTGCAGTTATCGTTGGGAATACCGTGGATTGATTTATTGTTATAATGATAATAATGATAATAACAATATAATAATAATAATTATTATTATTATTATTGATACTATTATTTTGTTAATATTACAAGTATTCTTTTAATCACTGAGTTATTATCATTAATTTGATTAATCGTAAGTCGGAGTATGATCAAAATTTCAATATATATTCCATGCGATTTGCAATAGAAGTATTTCTCTCTGGTGTAAATCCCGATTACATTACTTTACTTGGCGAAAACATTCAATAATTTTTAGAATAAGAGCAGCTGCTTCAGTCTTTTTTTATCACTTACCATATTTCAGGTCCGCGTCGACATGTACTGCAATTTCACGTGATGAAGCCATTGTACAGATGCAGACTGTGCGAGTACTCAAGTCCGTACGATAAGTATCACATAGCGAGTCATGCAAAACGAGTGCATGCTACCGATCGGCTCAGTGATATTTTGATTGATAATACATCGGAATTTGAGGACGATATCCAATATTGGACTGAGGTTGATAAAACTGCTTTATTCACTCACTTCAAATACACCAGCTTTTTGCTTGTTCGGTCTCATGCTAAGAAGTTCTTTCTCATGTTAAAATGCAACGCTGTTTCAATTTCATCTTATTTTGATCATTTAACTTGAAGATATTTTTTAGATGAATGGCTGCTGAAGAGTTTATATTGTAATATCTGTGATATTTAATGGGTGTAATCTTTATGCCATTGGATGGACATTTATCAAATGAACTTGTTTTAGAGATGTTTTGATCCAGACAAACTTCTGCAATATCGCAGTAACGCAGCATTTGAACGAGAGAACGTTGCGGTCACATCGGATGTTCATCAAGAAACGGAAACGCCGAATCCAAAAAGGAGGAAAGTGCATAGTTTTGCTGTTGAAGATCTTTTGGCTGATGATGACGATTGCAGTGAACGTGACCGAAATTCAAAGCAAGTAAGGCCAGACGAGGTGCGTTAGCTGGTAATATGATTGAATGAGTGGTAATCATAGTGAATAATAAGAATATCAGTAATAATACCATAATGATGTCAATGCTTATCATAATTAGAATACTTACCACTGAAAAAACTCAGCTATTTTAATGAAGCAATGGTAGGTATAATGGTGGTGACAATACAATTTGATAATAGGATTAGTGATAATGCTGTATAAAATCATATTTTAAAAAACTTATCATTTTGAGACCAAATTTTGACTCTTTTTTTGATCAACCAAATGACTGAGAAATTTCGCGATTGGAATACTTTTACAGAATCTTACATGCGAGAAAGGAATTGATCAAAATGAACGAATGAAGAAATCGACGAGTGTAAAACGGGCTAAAGATGAGGAGGACTGTGAAGAAAGTGAAGAGGATGCTGAACGCTTGAGTATCAAATCGCCGATCACTGCTGATGATAAGGGAATGGTAGAAATTATTATACCAAAACGCCTCTTCACTGATCAATAACTTTATCATCCAGCTGATAAGTTATCAGTTATTGAGGTTATGCTATCCCGATTACAAACAACAAGTCAACTTGGAATATCATAAACTCATTCGTTGGGCATGTGGTGAGTTGTTTTCTGTATTGTTTTTCATCTTATGATATTGATGTAGAATTCTGGTGAATATTGTTAATGTTATTGTTTTGTTTTCTCGTGATATTCGTCAATGTTTTTCATCGCGTTTGTTGATGAATTCAATAATTTGTCAATTGCCTTGTTTTAATAATGATTCGCTAGTTAATATTTCATTTAACTGAAACGTTTTCTGATAATTGTATAATGTTCACTACGATGGTATCAAGCAATGTTCCGCAAGCTCATTGTAGCACTAGCAGCATTTGATCACAATATCTTTTAAGCGATCTCAACCATACGACTACAGAAACTTTGATTTTAAAAGTTGAAAATGATCTCAAGAACGATTTACAATTCGATTCAAAACTCGCTTTGGGTTCATCGGATTGATTGATGACGTTGTCCGAAATGTATTTGAATGATCAAATGTGATCTGAGAACTCACCTTATTTGTTACTCGATAGGATCTCATTTTGTTAAGCTCAAAGACTAAGCAAAATTCACATGAAAGCGTCTTCTGAGTGCTTCAATTTTACTTATGAGATTAAGATATACATTTTTGCTTGATTTATTCCACATCAAATTATGTTGTTATGAAGTTATGTTCTTGATCGAATATTATTTGTAACTATAATTTAATTTCGAATGCAATAACAAACTCTCGGGCGATTATTTGTAACTATAGTAAATACTCTAATGCAACTTTATGATTTCATTTTTAACTATGTATTGGAGCTTATAATTTTATTGCGTTCCGGTAGCATTTTCTGTTTGATTTGTTTCGAAGGTGTTTTGTATGTTGTTAATTTCGAACTTGACTAATTTGTATGCTTTTTCGTAATTTTCTGCATCCTTTTTTTGTTTTCGCATTATGAATTGAACAATTTTATAATTGATGTTTAGTGATTTTCACAAATGTATTCATTTGCCTTTTGAATTGTCATATCACTTGTTGAATTGTCGAGCTTTTATTGCTGTTATTCTTGTCGTGTTTCCAATATCTATTGAGTTCATCACTTGTTCTTGTGCTTTTTCAGTACTTTATTTGCTCACACTTGATATTATAAATACATTTATATCCTATAAAGTACTTTTGTCGATTATCCTATCCTACTCCGGATTCCCATCATCTTATGTTACTTATATCCTACCCATTGCTGTCGAATGGATACCAACATTTCAGGTCCATTCAAACAATAACAAGGTTTTCATTCAGTTGTATGCAAAATGTGAAATGCCTTCAATGAATAAAATTTATTGCACATAAACAATTTCAACTACAATATGAATTCCAAATGTACAGAATAATAAAGCGAGAAATGAAATGAACTGTTTACAAAGTTTGTTGCAAACACAAACCTAATTTCAATGACAGTGGCACACCGTTCTAACTGCTCAAAGTGATCAGAATAAAGAGGTAGACAATTCAAGTTTCTAATGCTTTCATTTATTTGACAATTTAAAACAAAACAATTACACTGTATGACATGAATTATCGCTTCATATAAATTCGTACAATAACAAATTCACATAATAAAAACATCACTGCTACTTGTAAATGGAAGTTCTGCATGATATTTGTTAGCAAATCGATTGACGTAAGGCAAATTCTACTTCACAAATATCAGCAGTATATATCTGAATATCAGACATCAAA